CTCCGGTAGCAGCTTTTGGCTGGAAGGCGGACTTGGAAAGAGGAGACTGGAGGCGGAGTCACTGGAAAAAGGGAGGTACCACTGAAGCAACTTTGCGCCTTAACTCCTTTACGCTACAACTTTCCACCTCGAAACCACCAGAATGTTGCCCCTTGCGGACTACACTCGTTGCCTTACAACCTTTTTTGGCACTATTTACCCTTTACTGCCCCAATCTTCCGAAAACAGGCCAGTTTTTGACCGACTTTTTTCTGCGTTGGCAGAATTGGCTGAAAATTTGTCCCTGGGGTAGTTTGACCTCCTGAACATGAATATCACATCCGCTCGGCACGAAACCTCCTGGCGCCCGCGCCACAGGCGCTGGCGCCAAAATACCTCAAATCACCGGCGCCTGTGGCGCGGGCGCCAGGAAGTTTCGGGCTAAGCGAATGTGATATTCGTATTCAGGGGGTCAAACTACCCCAGGAGACAACATTTGAGCCAAATCTGTCCACGGAGAAAAAGTCGGTCAAAAACTGGCTCAATTCTGAAAGTTGGGGCAATAAAGGGTGAATAGTGGCGTTATGGTTTCGTGAAGGCAAAAAGTTGGCTGGCCTTGGCGGGAGCCGTTCCTGGTTCTGATCTCCGAGCCGCGCGCGAGGTTTTTCCTAAGTACTATATGAAAGTACCACATTATCGTTGCTTTGCCATATCTGGTTGCTGTGGAAGCGGTAAATGATGAAGGAGCAGCAATAGGATGTATCGTTCATATCGAAGAGCAATAAGGGGCGTGGCTGCGCATACTGAGTGCATGCTGACTCTTTTCCCTTATACATGCATGCCTGCCTCTCTTTCGTGTAGACCCCCGCCCCTCTCGAAGTCACGCCTCTGGCTGCCTTCAGATATGGACTATCACTGCGCCCAATGCGAGGCTCTCGAATCCAGTACTCGGGCCAGAAGAACCGTAGGTTTCTTCGAATTCGTTGCTAAGTATGAAGCTTGGCTGCAACATCTTAATCCCTCAGCTGCTGATGCTCCTCACGATGCAGGCCACATAGGTCCTATGGGTTGTGTCAGGCATATTACTGTGTCTTCTATACGCACCATCTCCTCGCCTCTATTATACAGCCGAGGGGCTCAAATAAGAAAGAAACAATGGTATGCTTGACTCCGCCCATACGCACAGCGAAGATTGTATCTTCGAGAACAGATTCTTTTGACACTTACTAATGTTTGCAGTTGCATATCAACAGTTGTTGGTATGGTAGCTGTCGAGCACTATCCACGACGTCTCCTGCTGCTTTCTTGCGGTTTTCTAAACATGTCAGCTCTTATGCTGTTCGTTCTCAGTGCACAGCTTCAGAATATATGGGATGCGTGTAAGTATGGCTGTATCGCTGCTGTTGTACTGCACGGTATTCAGCTACAGGTTAGGAATCTATTGTACGCATACAAAAGAAAACCCTTGGAATCATTCTTTTAGTTTCGCGTTGGGCCCGATATCGTGGTTCATTACGGCGGAACTGGTGCCATTGCAGTACAGGGCGCTATGCCAATCGCTTGCGCTCTCTTCTAATCAAGCAATCGCTTTGATTCTTTGCTTCATCACTCTACCGCTATATGATAAAATTGGTGAGTCCGTACCATATTAATAGTAGACTCAAAAAATCCTCAGGCGACGATCACACTCCTCTTTTGAGATGCGCCCTGCATCTGACTTTCCTTGAAAACCGTAAGAATTTGCGGGTCCCACATAACGATGCTGTAACCCTGCTCCTTGGTTCAATCCCTGAATTATGATGAAGGAATGTCGTGACCGTTTGCCGGTCCAAGGTGCTAGCACTTCTGAGAAACTCTAATGCTTACCCTTGTTTTCCCTGAATGACACGAAGTTCTCATACTTTAGATACATGCTTCGGATGTACCGTGCACAATTTTGAGCAATTTGTTTCACATTTATAGAAATAGCTAGAGCCTAGAGAAGCAGCATCGTAGTGCTCGATCCACAAAGCCGGGCGTTACACTTTTTCTGGAATCTGCATCATATTAATCTGCGTTCATACTTTGCGGCAGCGTCCACCAGCGTTCCGAGCGTCCGGCAGCGTCAGCGACTAGGAAAGTGTAGATATCGATCTAGCGTCTGCCAGCGTCTACCAGCGACCAGCAGCGTCTGGGAGTGGAGAGTATGAGGCAATAGGAGGGCGCAAACAGCTGATAGAGTATGAAGAGATAGCAGGCTGCTGATAGAGAGTATGGCGCGATAGGAGAGTATCAGACGGCTGGTACCTTCCTATAGCCTCATATTCACTTTCAGCAGGCTGATGCTGCGCTGGTGGGCGCTAGCAGACGCTGGTGGACGCTGGCAGACGCTAGATCGATATCTATACTCCTATTCGCTGACGCCGCCGGGAAAGCTGCCAGACGCTAGCGATCGTTGGTGGACGCTGCCGCGAAACATGAACGCAGCCTTAGCACATCTCCTTGACACAGTGAAAGCACTCGCTCAAATTACCACAGGTGATTGTTTGCTCATTGCACTCACTTTAAAGTTGCCCTTTCATCAGCGATGGGCTCTTCCTTCGCACATATCAAATAGGAGCGCAGCACCAAGATAGTTAGGGTGATCCCGCCCATACAATCAGCGCGGAAGCTGCTCTAAAGTTAAATATGCGACACACATTCCACGAGATGTCGCTCTCTACTCTTCCGCTATAAACGACATAATGTGATTCAAGTTGCAGAGCTGAATTTGTCTTTTAAGGGTCGCTTGTCCTTCTGCCATTATTCGTTATTCCTGGGTTGGCGGCAATGTTCTATCTTCTGCTCTACCTGCCGGAAACTCGCTCCAGGAATATTGACGAAGTGATTCTAGAACTTAAGGGTGGAATCAAGTCTTCTGCAGAACCGAGTCCTCAGACAGCCCAAACGTGAATATGATTTTGGTTACCTAACTGGTGATGTAATGGGTTCAAAGCCTGAAAATCCGCAACTATGAAGAGATCTAATGTAAGTAGGTAGATGTATGTAGTATTTTTAGTACTTTCAGTTCATTTCCCAGTTTCTTGTCAATGCTCTACCTCTTTCGTTCATGAGCTCGTTTCCATTTCAAGTGTGGAACGGACCAGGATGTCCTGAAGCAACATTTGCAACAGGAAGCCATTCTTTTCTTATCTTATGATGGCTTGTTTCCGCCGCAAGGGACAGTTAAAAGAAAAATTCACAAGTTTTAAGGACAGTAGTTTCCATGTGGGAAGTGAATTGGTTTACAGCTGCAATAGGGTGCCATTTTTCTTCGTTCGGGGACTGGGCTAAAAAGTGATGATTCTCAGTGCCAGCTCACACTCCGCTCGGCTACCCTCAAGGTGCAGCACCTGCGCGCATACCGAGATCCCGCAGCGAAAAACAAACTCAGTGGCAAAGAAAAATCAGGAAGGAGAGGGTGCAGAAAAGTAGCGTGTTGGCTACGATCAGGGGTGTGGTTGGCCATGGTATCACTAGCCTGAAGCTACCTTTCCGTGTAGTTTTGAGGGGAGAAACTTCCATGCTGCCGCACCTGCGTACCCATTCGCTTCAGACATGGCAAGAATCATGATTCTTTTAGAGGAGTGTACAGTTTCTATCCAAACTTTAATACAACAGCCTACTAGAATGATCCACCTTTTATCGCTGGCTCCACCTGCCTCACAACTTCCTACTGTTCCCATTTAGGCTGTAGCTTTATAATATTACTGATCCAGTCGGGCTGGTATTCAGTAGAGGAGCGATCTTGTCCTGTTGACCCTTCAAATCCCATGGTTGAACTATTCACCGAATGGCAATGTTGCTACCACTGTATTGTGAGATCTTTCGAGGCACATTCCACGGTGACAGGATAAAATTTATAGGATTCCAATGATATGCAGGCTTCATTTGCCACGTCAGTGGAGAAAGAAGCGAAAAAGACCCCCTGTTCGCAATGAGACACTTGCACTGAAATGAGACACACGCGTGTACTGCTCCAAGAGAAGTGGATACTCTAGCCCTAAAGTTGCCGGCGCGCTTGCCACGAACTTTCCAACTGCGAGAGTGGTATGGCCGTGTAAGAAAGGGTCTTGCTTACTGCACTTCAGTAGTCCTGTATTGTGCCTTTATCCTTCAGGAACGAATCCACGTTTGTCTGTATGCAAAAGTACGATTCCAATGTTATGGTATAATAAGTTAGTTGATTGTTATCTCAGTTTGTTCTATTCTATTGGAAATAAAGATTTGAACCTTTCTTTACTGCTTCTGATCACACGAATCTGGTGGAAATGATGCACGTGTTTGTGTTCCTCAAGTTAGCGCTTTTGAATGGCAAGGCAAGGCAGTGAGATTGGACAAGTGGGACAAGTTTCAGACATGGGTTTTCTGGTCGATGAAGATCTTAGTTTTGATGCCCACCTGTGAAGTTTTAACCAGGAAAGGAACCATAATCATGCATAGCTCGTTCAAGGCTGTAAGTAACTTGTTCAGGGCCGTAACGACTAGGAGTGTTCCCTTACTTCTAAAAGCTCATAAAGTTGTATACGTGAGATCTGTTTTGGAGTATGGCACACCCGTTTACAGTCTTTCCAAGATTAAGGTTATCAAGATGCCAGAGGCAGTGCAAAATAGCTTGACAGAAATTTAATGATAAGGATTCTTGGATTTACGTACGATCAAATTTCGTCCAGTGGTGTAAGAAATGGAAACTTTGGACTATCCACTCTGCTGCTCAGACGGAGAAGAAACTACCTTCTTTCTATTATATAAACTGATCACTGGTAAACCAGGCTTAGATTTGGCACAATTTTCGACTAAGAGAACGTGTGACAAGAGGGGTATCCTGAAGCTATACGTGGGCAGGGCCAAAAATTGCCGACGTCATTTATATGCTCAGAACTATTCCTCTGCTA